CATGGACATGACTGTATAAGCCTAAACAGTACAGCCAACCTTGACTACCCATTCTTCTAAATACCTTTTGTAATCCTTCTATAAAAGAAATAAAATTTTGCTCATTTATCAATAAAATTCCCTTCCATTTCCTTTCTCTTGACCAAATATTATAGAAATGCCTCTTTATTGATATGTGCAAAGACTTTTAATCAAAGATCAAACATGCATCTAAAAAAGGGAAGCGTATAAAAATAATAAGAGAATAAACGCCTGCTAGGATATTCTTAGGTAAAAACTAGGGTAGCCTGCTAGATCGCAAACCCCAAAAAAAGACGGTCTAGGCAAAAAATAAGGCAAAAGCCCCCTAAGATATCCTAGGCAAAAATTGAGGCAGCCCGCTAGATCGAAAACCCGTAAAGGGCGGTCTAGGCAAAAGATAGGGCTAAAACCAAAAGATGAGTAAAAGATGAGCCCATCATTAAGGTCATAAAAAGAGGAGCCCATAGGCATATTCATAAGAAGCCAACGGGAGAAGGCCAGTTACTTTCTAAATGCATTAAAAATAAATAAACAATAGATTGCATTTAGGACATTCACACACAAAATAGTTGCATAATATGACTTTGTCAAAATCAAGAAAAATAATTTTCTTCAAACAAAAATATTAAACATGCATATAAGGAGGTTAGTCTCCGCACTTGTGATTGAAAACAGGAAGCGCCGTAATCCAGTCTCCATATGAAAATCAAAATCGCGAAAAACGAAATCAAAATCATTTCAAGCAACATAAGGAACTTCAAAGAAACTAGTTCCAACCATCAACCTTCTACAATAATAAAAGAAGGTACATCGAAAAGAAGAAAGGCTAACGGAAAGGCTTGACCATACCCAAGCAACGGATCCTTGCCTACTCCAGAGGCAAGACAAAAAGATTACCTCGCGACTAAGCTTCATCACCACATGAGTCATCAAGCACACTCACGCAAGAATCTCCATTTCATTCCCCAAAGAAGAACAAGGACTACACAAGAGTCCATCGAAAGAAAGCACAAAATCAAAACATCCCAATCACTAGGGGGCAACAAAAAGAAAGAAAAGAAAAGCCTTTCATCCTCCAACAAAGGCCACTGCATGAAAAAGCCGAAAGAAAATCCCCAAGAAGAGCACATCAAGAAAAATCTACAAAAGCAGAAAAGGAGAAATTTCCATCCCCAGGAAGCCAATAAAATTCCCCAGGGATCATTACAAAGAGAAGAGAAAATATATATCTTTCCATCTAACGTGCATAAAAGGCGCACATACAAACCCATTCCCCAGCAGAAATAAAAGCATAGACAAAAGCCGGTTCAAGCAATAAGGAGTCAAAAACTCCATTTTCCCTCTAAGGGGGCAATTCAAAAGAGATCTCGATCGAAGCAATCAAATTCTCAAAAGAAAAAATTTCACCTGGTGAGCTTACAACGTAACTACTGTTTGCTCAAAATAAGCAAAGAGCTAATATCCCAAAGAAATGGGAAATTAACCTATGCGAGAGGTAATGCAAGCCCAAAAGCATAAAAGTCTTCACCATCGCTGAAGCAATTGCCTAATCAAGAGGCACAATCAAAGTCCCCAATAAATTCCTCAACGAAGAATCCCAGTAAAACAGGATGACTAAAATAGAAAAGTCAAAAAGAAAGAAAATCAATCATTCCTCACGGAATAGGCGCATGATCGGAGACAATAAGTCGCCGAGAACCGGGTGAGGGTACGTACTCACCTAAGCCTTGCAAAACGGGGCTTACAAAAAACTTATACCGGGTGGGGGTACATACTCACCTAAGCCTTGCAGAACGGGGCTTACCAAAAACTTCATACCGGGTGGGGGTACGTACTCACCTAAGCCTTGCAGAACGGGGCTTACAAAAAACTTCATACCGGGTGGGGGTACATACTCACCTAAGCCATGCAGAAAGGGGCTTACCAAAAAACTTCATACCGGGTGGGGGTACGTACTCACCTAAGCCTTGCAGAACGGGGCTTACACAAAAACTTCATACCGGGTGGGGGTACGTACTCACCTAAGCCTTGCAAAACGGGGCTTACAAAAACTTCATACCGGGTGGGGGTACATACTCACCTAAGCCTTGCAAAACTGGGCTTACCAAAAACTTCATACCGGTGGGGGTACGTACTCACCTAAGCCTTGCGTAACGGGGCTTACCAAAAACCTCATACCGGTGGGGGTACGTACTCACCTAAGCCTTGCGTAACCGGGCTTACCAAAAACTTCACACCGGGTGGGGGTACGTACTCACCTAAGCCTTGCAGAACGGGGCTTACCAAAAACTTCATACCGGGTGGGGGTACGTACTCACCTAAGCCTTGCAAAACGGGGCTTACCAAAAACTTCATACCGGGTGGGGGTACATACTCACCTAAGCCATGCGAAAGGGGCTTACCAAAAACTTCATACCGGTGGGGGTACGTACTCACCTAAGCCTTGTAGAACAGGGCTTACACAAAAAAAACTTCATACCAGGTGGGGGTACGTACTCACCTAAGCCTTGCAAAACGGGCTTACAAAAAACTTCATACCGGTGGGGGTACATACTCACCTAAGCCTTGCAGTAACGGGGCTTACAAAAACTTCATACCGGGTGAGGGTACATACTCACCTAAGCCTTGCGAGAACCGGGGCTTACAAAAAACTTCATACCTAGTGGGGGTAAGTACCCACAAAAGTCTAGTCAAATACAGACTTAAACCGGATAGGGGTTAGTACCTATCAAGATATTTATCATCCGGAGGATCAAGCAAGGAGCGATGATCCGAAGGATAGCCGGCAAAGGGTTAACTCCTTCCCCTACCAACTAATTATGTCGGCATGTTAAAGCCAACGAATTAGTTAGGCAGGTGAAGGGGGGGCAGCTGTAGACCCCTAATTTTGCCCGGCCTCTCAAATAAAAGCTAGGGAAACTTCATACAATTCACCCGGCTTCATATCAAAGAAAAACCAAGAAGGACCTCCCACAACAGAAGACGGAGTTCACCCATTCACACGATAAAAGCCAAAAGAGACTTCCTACACAAAGACAAAGCTCGCCTAGCATCTTAATGAAGGCCAAGAAGACTTCCTATATGAAGATAAAGCTTCAACGGACACACATCGGCATCAATCTATGTCCGAAAAGGAAAGGAAAGCTTCCTGGGGTCCCGTAACACGAAAACCGGACAAAACAGCCGGACCACGGTCCCAAAAGTGGGACGGCCGTCCCAACCGCAATTAGCGGCTGGGACGCGCGTCCGAATGTGGGACGGCCGTCCCAAACCCGGTTTAAGTGGGACGGCCGTCCCGACCTTCCCGGGGGTCCCGTTCGTGTAAATTTGCCATTTGGGACGGCCATCCCAGTCCGGACGGCCGTCCCAACCCGCACGGCCGTCCCAAAGTGCGCCAGCTGCGAAAAACTATAAATAGGAGGCTCATTTGCCACTTTTTCACACCACGTACACTCTGCAGAGCTCGAAACACTTTAGAGCACTTGTCTACTTCTCTCTCTCTCGAATGATCTTTCCGATTGCCTTAAATAGGTAACAATCGGTTAAGGAATTATATTCCGGCATTTGATTCTTCTTTAAATTTTTAGTAGAGTCGATCTTGTATTGGTGAGGAGAGATCGTGTAGAGAGAGGGTTGCCAAAACGCATCCTCACAGCTTCGAGGTTCTCAATATAAAGCTTGCTACGGAGGTTCTTTTCAATTCCCTTCTCTTTTATTGTTTTATTTATTATTTTATTGTTTTATTTAGCTTTATTATGTCATGTAGAATAGGATCATGTAGATAGCTATTTTAATATCTCTTTTATTGCTTTATTTAGCTTTATTCATCATTTTATACACGCAACATAGAATAAAATCATGTAGATAGCCATTTAATATTATGTAATAAAATAGGGTAATCGCGTAATTTCTGTAGTCTTTATTTAAATGAATTAATCTGTCATAGGGAACCCGAAAGGGGCGTTGTGGGGTGCTAACACCTTCCCCACACGTAACTAACTCCCTTACCCAACTCTGGTTATAATGGCCAAGTGCGGTTTTTCTTAAAATCAACATTTTTTCCTTTTCCAATGTTTATGGTCAAAACATTGGTGGCGACTCCATAAGAACCCCTTTTCGAAAACCTTTTAAAACAAAAACGCGAGTCTAAACCATCTTTTCGCGACCGCTCGCATAAACGTTTCAAAGACGTCCCCCTCCGGACGTCGGAAAGGGACGGCGGCGACAAGCCTAACCAGTGCTAGTGCGACTGAGGATGCAACTTTCCATGCTGAGGATCACCCATTCGGGTAGAGAAGATGGAAGAAGTAAATTTATGAATATAATTAGTCCAATGAGAATAGGATAAAATAATAATCTTGGAGTTAAACCAGAAAGTATGAACTTACCAAACTAAACCAATTATATTTCATCAATTTAAATTTTTTTCTCAAACATGAATCAATCCGTCCTTCCATACTATTGATATCCCAGGAGAGCCCAATTCAAATTATTGACTTACTCAAAGGACGATATTCTGTGCATGCAGTCAAAGACTTTGAATTTGAGTTCGGCTAATTCAAGTATGTAAACCTATGAAACAGGTGCTCGAAATCTATGCATATAAATCAAACTGAACAATCTCTTGATATGATTTATGCATATGGAAGTATGTGTCCCTAGCCAATGAGCAAAGAAAGTATAGGAAACTTTGAAGTCGGCAAATTGAAGCCACCATTTTAAAGGTATATTTATTTCAATCAGTAACCGTAAATAACTAGAAAGAAAAGGAAAAAAACACCTATATCCCAGGATAAGAGTATATAATCCTAGAAGGAATTTGAAAGGTCTAAAATGATGCTCTACTTCTTTGATCAGTGGTTGCACTTGCCCCCTCAATGTAAGTTTGGTTAGTAGTATGAGCATTGTGTTTCGTCAAGTATTATATTCACTTCCTGTAATAGCTAATAAAACTCATATGAACAATCATTCCGTTCATGCTACTGGCTGTCCCCTTGCCCTTCTTTCCCCTTGTTTGCTTTAAAGCTTGCAGGTGTTTTCTGAAACAAAAATTCACCAAGATAGGTTAGAAAACCTATTCTATTCATGACTAAAATAAGAGAAAACATGAAAACTATAGCTCATACTGTCAGTGTCAAAAGGCATTATAAAAATTCAAAAGGCATTATAAAAATTACGCAGTTTCCTAGCCAAGTTAGATCTTTGGTCAGGAACACAAACTGTAGATGATATCTTACTCTTGCACTTCATTAGCCTGAGACACAGGCTTTGTTCTTAATAATAACAATTCAGACAATAGTTCATACACATAATGATAAAGGGGACAATAGAATCGATAGGACCATTTTTTTAATCAGTTTTATCTTTCTTTCCAAGGAGGGTTTTAAGTAAAAAGTATCATTCTATGCCACTGGCAAGTGACTGAATTCGAATAAATTTCATTATTCATCCCAGATAACCACCATTTAACAAACTAAATCCAACAAGACCCCAGCTCACTATGAAGCTAAATTCACTTCCAGGGTCTCCATAATAATCCAGAAGTAGGAACTAAATTAAATTCACATCCACATCCAGCTTAGATCCGGATCAAATTTTAATTTCCAAGCATATGAAATTCTATTTTCCATAAAACAATGGAAGGTCCAATTGACCGACCCCCAACAGTTCAGAGACGAGACAACCAGCAAAAATATGCATATTAATGAAGGCAGTAAGTAGGGAGAGAGTAATGCCGACTACGGTCATTATGCATTTCCATTATTTAGACAATTTTGCTGGTCCAGAGTTTCAACACCTTCTGAAGAAAATAGCAGTCATGCATGATGATATCTATTCCCCAACTTACATATAGTTAGTTAATATTAGTTAAAAAAGAATTAGCAGGAACCAAGAATACTTTACAATTTCAAAGTGTTCCGAAAGCATAATAAGTGATATCTATAGTCTTGGTGTAATTTGCACAATGAGAGCATTATTAACTTTATCCACAACAAGACCATTATGTTCGATGTTTTAACCTCCTAGACACAAAATGTGCCATGACAAACATTCTTAAACTTAGGAAGAACAGTATTATCATAAAGAGATTAGAATGGATGTACCTTGGCTCTGAAAGATTTGATGATGGAAATTAACAATTTGTCGCCTGCTATATTTCTTACTCTCTGTATCATCTCATATCGAGAAATCCTCAATTCCTGCAAACCAGAAGAAAGCTCACTCAATATCATATCATATGTATCAATCTCGCAAAATAGTTTGTAGTGGCTAATTCTGAAAACGCTATAGCAGGATGTGGGATGACTGCTATTTTAAACATTATAATTATAATTGAAACTAAAATAATTAATTTACACATAATTATAAGTGCTACAACAACACACACAAAAATACCCAAAATTAAAGAAATTCATGATAAATAATAAGTCACTGTACGCACAATTACCACCAATCTAGGATTAATAGCAACATAGCAATGAAGTAAAAATGTAAGACAGGTGAAATTAATAGAAAAAAGAAAAAAAATATAGCATGCTGAGAAGGGAGTAGGAAGTGAGGAAGAAAAAAAAACAAAGAATAAAAAATAGTCCTTTAATGTGTGAAGGACTAGAGGTCAAAACAAAGGCACAGATAGCCTTTTTTGCAGAATATTTCACCCAAATAAACCCCGAAAATTTATCTTCAAAGTGTAAAAATGGATTTCTAAATAGCATTGCTATGACGTCCCAAAAGCCACTAGTTTGTTGGCTATTGTCTGCTAGTTGAATCCCATAATGATCTACGGCCACTCCACCATCCTGCTATACAGCTCCTTAGAGTCTTGTTGACTACTATGCTCAATCTATAACCATTTCAGCTAAGAAAAACTAGCCATTTCTCAAACTCTAAAAGCACTTACCGTATAATCTTTGCGTATCTTGACAATGATGGCAACTTGAGCCGGAGGCAAAATCTTCGAGAGCACCGAAACCAAAGCTGGGAATGGCATCCATGGCGAAGAAGGCCTCAAAGGTTTCCCAATATTCACATTCCCTACAAAATCAATCACACCCAAAATCTCAGAACAATAGCAGGAATTGATCACAAAACTAAGCAAAGGCAAGCACCACAATAATAATTCACAAACACCAAACCTTTCAAGGAAGGAAGCGTGAAACTCAATACGTATTCGGGCAATACATGAGTGTTGATCCGGTTACACCAAATAACATACTCCTTGGGAGCCAAAAGATCGTCCACCCCAGAATCATACTCTTCAGAACTCGAACGGCATTGGTTGGAGCCACGTGGCACCACCTCCGTCTTCCCCAAGATAACGCTACACAGCAACAAGTACCTCACACCGTCACCGTCGACACCGGAGCTCTTAACACTGCATTCCACATAGGCAAAAACATAAGAAAATTCATTAAACTCTTTATTCACAAACCAATATTTAAAAACACAACAATTAAATGAAATGATAAAAATTATCAATGGAACAGTGAAATAACGCGTGCCTTTCAAGTGGGCAATCAAGTGGAGAGAGACGCAAGCCGTTACAGTGCGCGTGGCCGAAACCATGTTGGGCGATATCAGCTATCTCATCCTTACCGGACGCACCGTACCAAGCGAACCTAACGTTGGCATGACCATCGCGCAATTCCGTCACCGCACGCGCGAAAACTTGAAAGGACTGAGCACGCGCTCGCGCCATCACGGAGGAATGCGCGTTCTTGCCAATCGCAACAACCTCGGGTCTCAACCCGTTAGAGGCCAAGGTCCGGACGAATCTAGCCTGGACATGATGTCCATCATCCCCTGCCGGCACAAAGCCTCCGCTGAACGGCCCCTCGCCGCCGGAAACCCCGCTCTCACAATCAGAAACAACGGATTCCTCATCGGAAACATAAGTATAGGTGTCTGACGAATCGCGAATTGGTCGGTCCATAATGCAGAGAGAGAGGAAAGAGGGAATTGAAATTGGGAAGAGGGGAGGAGGTGGGAGAAAAGAATAGAAGAATTTGGGGGATTTAAAAGAGTTGGTGGCAGAATCTGTTGGTCATGTTTATAGAAACAAAAAGCTTGGGGTGGAAGAAAAGAGGAACACGAGGGTTGTGTGTTAGGGGATAATGATGATACGAGAGAGATTTTGTGAGAGTAACGGTAACTGGGAGAGGAAGAAAATTGAGGTTTGGGTGAAGGCGGTGGAAGAACATGGCTATTATCACAAGCAATTTTTGAACAACCGACCTTGTGATTGATTGTGTATTCCCTGTTTTTATTTCCCTGTTCGCCTAAACTTGGGCCTTAAGGTAATGGTCAAACTTTGCATCTATTAATTCTATTTTTATTTTTTATTATTAGCAACACATACTTTTATATTTACATTTTTATCTTTTAAATTTAAACACTCGTGTTAAAAAGTAACATTTTTTATATAATTAATTTTTTAAAAATATTATTTAATAATAGTGAATAAAATATGTGTTATTTTTTTAAAATAGTAAACTTAACATTCTAATTTTAAAACATTATTAAATATAAAATAGAAAAGTAATTTACATCAATTTTTTACATTATTATTTATTTATTATTATTATTATAATTATAATAATAGGTCAAAGTTATTATTTTATTGCCAAGATCACAATTTCTCGCGCTGAAGGTGATTGCCACATGTGTATACATCTGCCTACTATGTGATTATATTCTTCTGGAAGTTTATTTCTTAATATGTTACTGATATTTTTATATGTTTTGTGATTATCCGTTAAATTTAGTCAGAATTATTAATTTTGATAGATTTTATTTTTAAATAGAAGAGATAATTATTAAATAGAAAGTTTTATTCACTAAGAATGATTTATGTCCAATAAATTATAGTCTATAAAGATTTTTTTTTTTTCAAGAGCGATAGGACACCACCAATGTTAAAAAAAATAAAATAAAAATAAATAGAGAATGCTTAGTTTAGAAAACTACGTAGAGTTTGATAAACTAACATTCTTAAACACCACATAAAAATATTAAAAACAGACGCACATTTTTAGGCAACGTGATGCGAATGAGTTGTAGACTTGGTGGTACGGAAGAGAGAAGAAATAAATCTTACAAAATAGAAACGCTTGTCTTCTTCCTGGTCTTTGATTCTTTTATCCAACCTAACAAGCACTTAATTCATTAATTGGAAGACACGAAGGTTACTTGGTAGAGCAGAACTTTGATGTTGAATGGTTGTGAAAAACCCAAGACAAGCTGGTTGGTTGGATAGCTTTTGTGAGAAGTGAATAATAGGAGGCAATTAAGGAGTAATTAGTTTGTGAGAGGCGTAGATGAGATAAGAATTACAATTTCAAGTCAAATCACACACAAATTACGAATTTTTATGATGAAAAATTTTATGTTAACTCTATAATTTTTTAAGAAACAATCCTATCAATATTATGCTTTAAAATTTTATTAAATTATAATAAAATAAGTTACTTAGTAGATAGTATAATATTCGATAATCTTTAAAGAAATTAAATTTATAATCACACAAAAATAAAATTTTTTGATAGATTTTCATTAAAGTTTATATAATGATTTTTTTTTCATTTAGCATTAATAACTAAATCAACTTTTTAATAAGGAGATATATATTAGAAATAAAAATATATATAATTTAATTTTATAAAATTATCTTGTAAAAAATGAAGTTTGTATATCTCTTATATTATCAATATATCATTAATAAAAGAATATTTCTTTATTGTTCTTAATTTTTGTTAATAACTATTAAATAATTTATCCCCTTTCATATCTATGATTTTGGTTGTATCTTAAATTGACTAAATTTATTATTAAAGTCGGTCACTAAAATGTTATCATAAGAAAAAGTCATATATTAAAGTTCTTAACCAGAAACTTTTTGGAGCAAGATCAAGGCGTCATATAATCTCCATGGATTTGACTTGTATCATTCAAAAGCTATATATTGATATAATATTTTCTTTTTGTTTATATGGAATCCTATATACTTTCATATCTATTAAGCAAAACTACGAGCGATGAAACTCAGGGGGTTGACAGAAGAAAAAAAATGAAGTTAATGAACTTATCTGGGTTATTTATCTTTTATTTTTTATGAGAATAACTTTATCTTACCCAATATTGTTGTACCACCATCTTTCTTCTTTATAATAAATTCTCTTTTATGAAAAGAAAAAAGAGAGGCTTTTCCTATTGAATTGATTTAGGTAGAGGCTGAGATGTATAACTTATAGTGCAAGGTTTGTCACATTTATTATTTATATCCTGAATAAGGAATCTATTCTGATGTCTTAAAGGAGGAACCCTAATGTGTTCTCTTTTATAGCCTTTCGTTTTCTAAACTACGTATTTGGTTAGTTGCTTAATATGATCCAAGATTATATGCCTTTTCGCTATCCAAAAATTACAATGGCATCTCATTAACCTAATTTTCCCCCTAAGCATAAAGGGATTACAACTAAAAAAGTAAGCAAGAAAAAGCTTCCGGGTTGTCATATTAGCCAAAGTGAATGTAGAGTATTCATCACGTGAAGGTTGATCACTAAGAAATGTATGAGTAGGCTTAAGCTCAAGCTCAAGCTCCTTCTTAGCTAATAGGGTGAGCTTCAACAACTTAAAACATTTTTTTCGTTGAATTCTATTCTCATTCAAAACTTTCGTCTCATGTTGAATTATTACGATTTGAAAGTAACCTAGGCTATGTGCTCAAGTTTTCTATTAGGAAAACTTCGTTTTCGTTAAGGAATTTTCTACTCTTCACCCAAAAATTGTGGAATAACAATAACAGGCATAGTTTGAGTGTATATTTGGGTTTGATGTACTTAGCCCAATGATGTATTAATTCTGGACCCAAAACTAGAAGTTCATTGTTTTTGTTGAGTCCTGACAAAAACATTTCAACCCATTTTGTTGCACAAGGTCGTTTTCTCACTCTCTTCGGCTGGTCCAAAGCTACCTCTTTTCTTTTCTTTTAATTTTTATTTAATTCCAAATTTTAACGAAAAAAATAATCTCACACACACACACACACACACACACTATATATATATATATATATATATATATATATATATAAAGCGTTTAACTATAATATGACATTAGATAAATTTATTTAATATTTTTTTCTTTATCTGTCCAAAAAATAATAATGTAAGCAAAAACTGACAAGAAATCAATAAATAATTTGCAGTATAAAGTGATAACAGTATGTATATATCTATTAACGAAGTGGTTGATTAATAATTTCTGTTAATGTTAGTTTTAGATATGAAATAAATTTTGGATATAGAGTAAATCTTGTTGAGAGGAGATGACTCATTTTACGTAAGCTCAACGTCTCTGGGTATCGAATAATATCAAACAAACGTAACGAGAAAAGAAGAATAATCACAAACTACTGAATTTACGATTATTCTAAACAAAGTCGTTTTCTTTCTGATAAGAACTTCATTCTCTCCTTGAATAGGTAAAGGAGAAAATTGTTTATTCATTCAATATATTTAAACGATTATCATGTCTTCAGTTATATAACTTATTAGGACATTTGTTATTCTCTACCGAAACAGTTTCAATTTATTAAACTCATGCCAGTTTGTATTTAATAGATTCACCAAATATCTCACTTTAATTAATCACTATCATTTTCTTTTATATTTTACTTTTTTTCTTTTTCTTTTTCTTTTTTTAACACATTTATTCTTGTGTCTTTTATTTTGGGAAAAGTTCAAATGAATCTACATACATACAAAATATTCTTAATGTAATGAAATACTTTTATTAGGAGAATTTGTTGTTAATAATTAATTTTAAAAAAGAATTGAAAATAGTTAATGATGAAATATATTGCTTAAATAATTTTTTTAAAAGTAATTAAAATTTTATAAATTTATAAAAATAATTTTATTATTAGAAAAAAATTAATTCTAACTAAAATGTAAAACTTTAACATTTTTAATATTTTTTTCCTTTTTAATTTTTTTTATATTTTTTCTTTAACTTAATCTTGATTGAAACATCTTTGTCTCGTCTCAACGTTCTTTAATTTGAGTTTATTTATCTAAATGACCCTATTATATAAACCTGAGTTATCTTATCTCAATATAGTTTGTCCCAACTTAATACAAATTATTTTGATTTAACATTTTTCAACCTAACATAGTTTGTCTCAACCTGATTTATTTTATCTCTTCTTAATATATTTCATTCTATTTTATTTTGATTTGTCTTAATTCGATTGACTTAACTTAACACCTATTTTAATTAAACACAATATGAACCCATCTAACTTAGTTTGACATGGTCTAACTTATCCTGTCATAACTCACCTCCTCTGATACATGGTTTAACTCAACCATCTTAAAACAAATTTTTCAAGCCAGTTTTAACTAGGTTTGACCTTGATAGCGTAATCCATCTTAATATAATCTAACTTAATCTAGTCTTTCATGATTTACTGTAGGTAAAGATAAATACATAATTATACCCAATTAACAAGTGTAATAATAATAATTTATATACTAAATAATAATTAAAATAATATATTTAAATAAAAAAATTAAAATTAATAAATTTAAAATGAGTTATTTAAACAAATCATTTATAAATTAAAACAATTTCAAATAAACACGATTCAAATTCAATATATTTAAATTTTCTTATCTAAACACAAATTTAATTCACAATTGCAAAATAAATTTTATTTTTTTTAAATAAAATTGTAATTAATATTAATCTTTATAATATTATTACTTTTTCTTGATATAATAATAATAATATTTTTCTACAGAAAAAAATATTTTGGTGTAAAGTAAAATGTCTCCAATTGAGTTGATTGAATAATAAGATGTCAAGCAAAGGGACATCTTTTCCCTTTCAATATATTAGTTATATGCAAAGGTGTCGCACAAGTAGGTTCTAAGAACTAAATGAGTCAAGTTATTCAAATATTATTTGGATTATAGTTCAACTATTTTCATATATTATATATTAGTAATTCTTTGTTAAAAATATCTTCTATTTATCTTCATATTTCGTGAGTTAAATTAAAATAAGAGTTTAGCAGATAACAAATGACATTTCAGTTGCGACATTCTACAATTTTTTTTTATAAAAGTAAAATTAATTAAGTTATAAATGAGTTACAAATTCAACTTTATATTTTCAAAAAAATATAAAGTCCAAGTTTTTAATCAAACTTAATCAAATAAACGACTAAAGTTTAAGCTATTACTTTTCTTACATTCTCCAGTGCCCAATTTTTATTTTTAATAGAAAATGTTCATCTCTTTGTAAATAGCTTTATTGTCGCAATTTTGTGATAACTTTTCTTTACACTAGTATATATGGTACAAGTAAAAAGAAAGAAATAGTTTTATTATTAACAATTTTTTTTCTTTAATTCTTTATTAATAATTAAAACATTTTTTTCCCTTATACATATATACACATATTGTTTGGTTCCACTTAATAGTAGTGGACCGATCTGAGCAAAATGAAAATATACTAAGATCTTATCCTTCCATTATTCGGAAGAATGTAGGACATAGTGAAATGAGTACAAAAGTACATCCACCTGAAAAAGTCGTTCCTTTCTTTTTGTATAGAAAGCGATGGAAATGAAAAATATAAGACAAAATAAAATATCTCTCTTAGTTAAGCTTAAGTGAGTCAAGAATGGAGAAAATATTAATTTATATATATTTTCTTTTTTTATTCACGAAATACCTTTTAAACCTAAAATTTGTGACCAACAGAAGTTTTAAAACAAATTATATCTGGAACAAAAATTTCAAAACGAACACCGTAAGAATGTTACGCATTTTTGTTTTCGTTCCTTCCAAATTTATTCTTTTGACAGACAAAAAATAGGAATTGGTAGGGTTAAGATTGCAAGATGATGCGAACCGCGGGAAACTCTTTGATGTGCAAGAGGGTGTTGGGAGCTTAACAGAAACAAAACACTAATCATTATCCATGGCTACCTATGTGCGTAGCTAGGCACATTACAAATAAAGAAATGAAAGAAGCAACAAGATCACACATAATAAGGCTAAAATAAAATATAGCCTTGTGCAGGACAAAGATCCTCTTCAGTGTCCATCCTCTGCCTCTTAGATTCCTCCATCTATATAAAACAAATTCCCTCTTCCAACTCACTATTTAGTGTCTCACTACTTACCAATTATTAACTCTGCTTTTCTTCTCTTTACTCATTTCACTGCGCCGCAGTAGTCTCCTTCGCACTTGCCACTGTCGCGCATGCGCACATCATATGGGAAAAAAAAAATAACCTAACGTACATTCAACAAATCTATTTCCCTTCATCGACAAAAGGAACCAGATACGTAATCTCTTTACATGCATAACAGAATTAGATATATATAATTTGAATTTCATTTTATATAGCAGTTTCTTCACTCATTCGAGTTCAAACTTAAAAATAATGTATCAAATCAAATAAGTGGGTGTGGGATCGGGAGCTATTAGCTAGGAATATATACATGGTGCTATAAAGTGATTCTGGGGCTTTTTCTATTGGGTTTCGTTTGCATTTTCTATACATGTTCAAGTCTGAAGGAAAACTTTGGATGGATTGAAAAGAAGGTTCATGGTGGGGGCTGATCCTTTGGATTTATTTGACCCCAAAATTCCAAATTGACTGCACCCATTACGAGGGATGAGTGTTCGAATTTTTGACCAAAATCATGGCGCGGACCACAAATATACCATGTAACTTATTAGCTTGTTGGATCATGATATATATATAGAATCCAACTTGACCCCTTGCTATTATTCCTACAACTTCTCATAAAGTTTAAGGTAAATGTACTGTGGGATCTAAGTGTTCAAAAAATCAAAGTACTTATATCATAATCAGTGATAAAATGATGGGGATGAGATTTGTTAACATCTCATTGGTCTATGTTTATAAAATGAAATGAAAAGAAATCATTACCAGCATTGCTGTAAACAAGGCTATGATGGAGCAAACCATACTCGTGACATTGGCTCAAAAAACATTATTTTGAAATTTAGAGGATGATTGAAAAGGTTATTAATTAAAAAGTGGATGACAAGAATTTTCCATATAAATGTTTTGCATATATACACTTAATTCCCTATTATTAACCAAAAGGGACGGGGTGGAGTATTATATAAGATGAAGAGGAGGAGCATCAAATAGGGCAAAAAAGATTACAGAATTTTGGAAGAAAAAAATGACCCTAAAAAAAAATTTGAACTTTAAATATTTTTGAGAAAAACTTCAGCTTTTAAATTGTGTAGAGATCGAGTTGGCCTTTCTGAAATGTGATTAATTTTTATGAAAAGAAGGAAAGTAAAGAAAGAAGAAATAAAGCAAAATATGCTATTGCTGCTGCATAAAGATATAGGTAGCTTGAGATTGAAGGCTCTTGGAAGTTTTTAAGTTTTTCCATACCTCAAAAGGAGATATACTTATGGTTAATAATGTGCATATATATACATATGGTAGAGAGCCAAAGATGTATAATATCATCTTCAATGCAGAATGTTAGCCGAGCTTTTGGAGTATGATAATGTGACATGATAAATATTTTAAATTTACAATCCCAAATTTTAAAAACAAAATATTTCATACAGCTAAATTAATTTTGTTTTAAGTTGTAAAAAATAAAATTTAAATCTTAAAAACAATGAAAAGAAGGATCTACTTAAAATAAAATAAAATAAAATATCATAAGAAAGTATTACAAGATCATTGCTTATCCAAAGTGGTTTTTAATTTAGATTAAATCATATACCCAGAGAAACCTCTTTACCACCTTTACCTGTGGACATGTCATGATCAACTGAAATATTTTTTTATGACAAAAGGAAGAAAAAACACTTTTTTTTTTCCTGATAAGTCCAGAGAATACTTATACAAAATTTGTCTCTTTTACTCTTTAACTGTTGGCGAGAATATGATATTACTATATTAGATTATATGGTATTATGAATATGGTTAACATACATTTTATTATTGGTTGTTAAAAATTAAAATAAGAAAAACAAAAAATTATTTTAATTTGAACCAATAACGAATAGTGTATCCAAAAGAATATGTTAAAGAGTTACATTTTTAGTAGTAATATATACATATTTGTTTTTAATTTTTTTTAATATAATAAAATAAGGAATACCCACCTTTCTTAATTTTTTGTTTTCCAAACAAATAAAAATATAAACATGTGGATATATTTTAAAATTTTACATTACGAGTCTTGTATATGCATGTAATTGATAATTTGGATCGGTAACCAACCTTTCCATATCTCTATTCGAAATTTTAATCATACGTTTATAGTTCAATGGTTCACATAAATCAAACCAATAAATTTGCGAATGCTCAATCTAATACGTTGGTCAATTAATCGAGATCAATGAATATATGGACTTGATCAAATTTTCAATAAATTCTCTATTATAATGATATTGTGAGATTAGTAAACCAAACCTACTCAAATTGGTAAAAAAATGTGAAGAAAAAACTCGTTTTAAATTATTAATAAGTAGATGTTTGGAGAAAGAAGAATAAATGAACTCCTCATGTTATAATTATGTATATAAAAAAAGGTAAAACGCGAGTTTAATTTTCTTTGAGAGATCCAAAATCACTTAAAAGTGAGTTGCTCCCTTCCAACTCATTTTTCTCCTTATTATTACAAAAGTCATGATTTAAACTCTGTCCTACTTTTATGAAAAACTGATACCATTATTGTTCGAAGTAACCATTGTGACATCATCTTTGAGATTCTCCTTCAACTTTAAAACAATATTTTTGGCACATAATTAATTAATGTTTGTGGCCCCAAGTGTCTAAACCTCACATATCACTTCAGCAACAGCCCTAATGATCATTGCTCACAGAAGAAGTTGAAAACTATAAAGTATTTTGACACTCCACAACACAAAAGCAGATAAAGAAACAAGACCTAGAATACACTGATCAATGGGCAATGATATCACGCTGATGATTGAAACAGTAGCAATCCATATTTGTGCTAAAGCAGATACACATATATAGAAAAATAAACGACTATACCAAAGAAGAACGCAGTGAGGTTAACGTGGCCACACTCTCACTTTATTCACCTGAAACACTGTGTGTACTTGGGGTTTGGTTCCTGTAGATTAGGTTGGGTTGGTTTGTGTTCCTCACTCACACAATATACCACAAATGAATGAAAAATGATAAAACCACTACAGTGCTGTAACTTCCACCTTCTTCTTTCAGGTGTCACCCTTCCCATACAAGTTTGTCAGTTTATTCCCAAAAACTTGCCTAGTCCAAGAATTTCGCTTTCAATTGAATGACATTACTCTCATGCTAATCAATATGTTGGTATACGAGTTCACTTTGCAACATGATAGGTGCATAGTGGTTTTCTTTTTCTCCTTCAACTGGTATTATGATACGTACGAGAATTGCACCTATCAAATCAAATATATAAATTTTATTGTTTAATAAAAGTATATGAAAAATATTTATATCTTCACAATATATATAGCAAATCACTTAAATAAAAACAGAAATTTAAATATATACTACGAATATAATTATCATCAATACAAGGAGTCACAATAATTAAACCTAGTTGTTTGTGTTGATGTGAAAAAAGTAAATAAAATATATTATCGAGTTGCAGTACCATTGTTTCATTATTTCAAAATTGTCTTACATGATTTTAAAAATAATTAGGTTAAATTGAAAATTTGGTCTTCTTTTAATTATTGATTTGAAAATTTAATCCTCGTTTTTTCACAATTTCTGATATACAGTGTTTAATAAAATCTACAACCGTGCTGAATGGGACTTTTATTTTCCTAAGTAGCTAGGAAGAGCATTCATTGGAGGCAGTATGGAAGGGGTAGGGGGAAGAAAAAGAGGAGAAACGAGAAAGGAGGGAGAAAGAATGAGGGAGGGTTGGGAATATATCCCTTGCTTGTGGGAGGAGGGAGAGAGGGTCCAGTTCTTTTGGGGTCCACAAGTAGAGTGCTCTTTCGGTATGCCTTCTTTATCGAGGACCCAAATATTCTCACCTAGCTTCTGTCACTTCATTCAGACACCACTGTAGTGCCAAGTATGTTTTTGTGTCTTGCCTCTGTCCACTCTACCTCACACACACATTCACAATTACCTCTTCCAATCTAGTCTAATCTGATCTACCAAATCCTCATCCATCAGCGGTACTCTTTGCTTAATGCTTATCTCATTCCATACCAACCACTGACTGTGAGTGTGACAGTGAATATTTATCTGGTCAAGCTGAGCTAAGCACTGGGGCCACCATATTAAGGGCCCACTATTTTTTGTCACCGACGGGCCTTATGACACACTCTCTCTATAAAGTACAATGTGTCAGCTCAACTCATTCCCCCTCACCTTTTTCTTCCTTCTTATTCACTGTCACTTCGCAACTAACACTCATATTGTCGCACACCACTATCACAACATACCACACTCACTCAACTCCCTCAACGTAGTAGTAGTAGTAGTACACTGCCTTCCCTCTCTTCTTTCCCTGCACTTCTACTTAACCAACATTCTTTTGCTGTGCCATGTTCGTCATGCAGTGCTGCTAACTAGGGCTCTATAATAACAAACTTGTTCATCAGAAGAGAAGCTCCCGTTTCTCCCAGCTCCTGGATTTTTCTTGTAAATGGGTTTTTCCTCTCTCCACGTCCGCATGGACTCATCAGATCACTGGCTGCAGGTATATTTATGAAAAGAAATCTGTTTGTTTCTACTTTTCTAACTCCTGAGAACCATATTGTTACATTCATAGATGTACTTCATGTGAGAATTAATGAGTAGTAAATGTATTTGAACGTCCAACTTTATTAATAAGTATTATTTTCTTTCTATCTTTTCCTTTTTATCATACCATATTTCTCATCATGTTTACACTTCTCTCTAGCTTCTATCTTCTTTCTGTTTATGTCTCTTCGTGTATCATTTTCCTAGATAGGGTGATGAATTCCATTGAATCTTCATAATTCACACCACAGTAACGAAATACAACGGTTCGACGAGAGAGTTTTAGGCTTTTAGTTGATCAAGATTTATAGTTAGAATTATAAAATATTAATCAACTAGAAGCATGTATATAGTGTCAAGTTGCATTATGCAATTATCGGTTTTTTATTACCTTAATAAGAATGTTTTGCCACAATGCTGTTATCTGTTTTTTATTATCTTAAATAAGAATGTTTTGCCACACAAAAAGATGAGAAAAAGACAAGGTAAAGAAGGCAGAGGGAGAATTAGCAGAATAAAGAGAAGTCCCAATCCAATAAGACAAATTTGACAGTACGCAACACATTTTTCTATCCATTAATTATTGTTTCTTTTATAAAATGTCAGGGCACAATTCACGAGGAGTGTGGGGTAGATTCTTCTTCACCATCTGGCGACATGCTTCCATGCTCGAGACCAATGACAGAGAGGAGGCTAAGACCCCCACAAGAGCAAGCCATCAAGTGCCCTAGGTGTGAATCGACACATACCAAGTTCTGCTACTACAACAACTACAGTCTCTCCCAGCCCAGGTATTTCTGCAAGACATGTAGAAGGTACTGGACCAAAGGAGGCACTCTTAGAAACATTCCTGTTGGAGGTGGTTGCAGAAAGAACAAGAAAGTTTCTACCAAGAAACACAATGACCACCAACCAGCTATTAATCAAAACCAAACTCACTCTGCAGGACCCTCTCATCTTCATAATCACAAAGATCTTCAACATCCCTTCCTAGATGTGCAATTTTCCCACCTCAACAATTTACTTGGGACTAATGCTGGGGTACTGGGAAACCCTAATTTCATGGAGGGTAAGTATAACACCGGAATGCTTGAGAACCCTAGGCCTATTGACTTCATGGACAGTGGGTTGGATGGTATGCATATGATCAGGGGTTCTACTAGGAGTTTTGATCTTCTTGAAAACAATGATATGAGTGTGGGTAGTGGTGTTGAGCTTGGTGATAAGAGTGGCTACAATGGATTGCCATTGAATTATCAAGGTCTTTCTTCTGCAGCATTTGGAGGCATTTCCCTTGATGGAAGCATTAGCAATGTTGGAACATATATGATGGACTCTTGCCAGCGACTTATGTTGCCCTATGATGGAGGTGATAACATCCTTAACGTTTCAATTGATGTGAAGCCAAACCCAAAGCTATTGTCCCTTGAATGGCAAGATCAAGGTTGCTTTGATGCTGAAAAAGTGTCATTGGGATATCTTAACGGTTCAGGATCATGGGCCGGCTATGGATCTTCCACAACAAACCATTTGGTTTAGAGAAGATAATAAATAATGTCACTTCTCATATCATGAATCATGCAGAGATACATGATCAAAAGTGGTGATAAGCTCTCTCTCTCTCTTTCTCTCTCTAGGCTTGGGAAATTTGTTTAATGGGCTAATTAATCTCGTTCCTGTCCTCTATAATTTATTATAAAATTTGCGCATAAAGGCTTTTGTTGGGTGGTGTTTCTTTCTGCCAAGTTCGTCTTTGATTGCTATTGACTCAACAAAAAGAGTGTGAACGGGGAAGCTTCAGCGTCAAAATGGACTGATTTGGTGCATTACCTTTAGATTCTTCTTGTCTTTGTGTGCGCAGAAGCTCTCTGATAGCTTTAGGATTTGTTGTAACATCGAGGATGATATGGTAGTTCTTTTCATGTTGAAGAAAATACGCAGTAGTACTATTTTATATTTATATCTATGTTTCTAGGGTTCATTATGTCTCCTTAACTCCTCTACTCACTCCTTGTAACGTTAATCTTTTTTCATGGAATGGAACCTCAAATTTTCTAATGAATATAATTAACTACTAGCAAATTTTAATTAGCAGAATATATTATTTAAAAATAAACATAAAAAATTATTATCATAATTAAAAAATTACCTAAACAAAGCCAATTTTCCATGAGATCAACAAGCCAGTTTAGGCATGGGAAGAGAACAAGTTAAGAATGAGTTTATCTCTATCTGTCCCGGTAAAAGACGAGATGGTTTCAGGTTGGAATTTCATTACGTCACCTTATTCAGTATTTGTACTTGTTGTTTTGTCTAGGAATTAATGTTGAAGAACTAAGATAAAGTGTTTCTTTATGAGCAATCCTTCTTGGAGGCCTTTAAACTTTGTCACTGAATTATGTTTTGTAAATTTATTATATTATTTGACTGTAACTCTAAGCATACCAAAGTTTTTATATAAAAAAAAAAGGTGGCCGGTGTTTTAACTTTTATCCATTTCCTAAAGTAACTAATTACCGCAATTTAATTTTTTTATGAAGTCTAAAAGGGAAAAGACGAATAAATAGGTCATAATATATGTCACGAACTTAAGATTGTTCACCAAAAATATAGTTTGATCTATTTATTAATATTTCAGGTTCGTTTTTTTGTCTGAATTTTTTTATTGTTTAATTATTTTTGTTGATAATCTTTTTTATCATTTGGTAATATAGGGACTTATGTGTAGTTTGTGCTTAATTTGTTGAAATTTGCTTATTTTATTTAATATGAATTTTTAGAAAAAAATTATATGATGAAATTGGTTTTCTTAGTTAGATTTTATCAATTTACTTATAATTATTTCTATTAACAAACGCATTTGTCTGTTAATTAAATTTATATTTTTCTAAATACTTGGTTTGAGTTAGTAATTAAGAATAATTATACTTATTTATATATTATTATATTATTATATTTTAGTTAATTTTGAATAAATTAACTTATTTAAGAAAAGTGATTTTAGAAATATTATACACCTTTTCTTTTATTTGATGGGTTGATCAAAGAGGGACACTAAGTAATGAGTTATATATATATATATATATATATATATATATATATATATATATATATATATATATATATATATATATATATATATATATATATATATATATATATATATATATATATATAAAGAGAGAGATTAACTTTGCTTCTATATCTTTAGTCAACGACCAAACAACTTCATATTCTGCTTAGATAAACTCAAGTCTCTGATAATTTTTTTATCATCAATCATCTTATCCTTCCAAAACTATTAATTAATTTCAATCTTATAACATTTGCTTTTAATCAACTATCTACGTATATGATCCATGCATGCCTTAAAGCTACTCATTTTCCCTAATTTTGACCTATTTACAGTGAAATAATCAACATTTATCATATGATCAATTTTTTTTTCATTACAATAAATTTATTCGATATTGACTAATTTAAAAACAAAAAATATACAGTCACAATTGAAAATTAAGTTAGAATTATTTTAATTAACATTAATTAAGATATGTATTAATAATTTAGTTTGTAATAACTATTTTTCTAATACAATATAATGTTACATATGTAATATCACACATTTCCATGTTGATAAGTTCGTTCTATCATATTGATAAGTTCGTTCTATCCTATTGATAAGTTCGTTCTATCCAATAGAGTGCACTGAAAAATGTTACTTTTTGAAAATTAGGGCAAGCTATGTCTTTTCTAGCATGGTATTTTTGCTCTCTTCTTCAATCAAGATTGAGCTTACTACCTAATTATTAATTATCAAAATGACTAGTTTTCTTTCATGTCACACCAATGTTAATGAGTTACCAACATTTTTTTTTTTTTTGAGTCTTTCTTCAAACTCCTCACTCTACTGAAATATTTGCTTTTCTTATGAGAATTTTTAACCATAATCTAAGTTGAAGTAACAACTCATGTGCACTTCTTCCATTTACTTCCATTTTCCATATAAATGGAATCGAGGAATAAATTTAATGGATTTAGGATTTAAGTGTTTAATTGATATATTAAAGTTATTTATTAAAACTTCCATACTTTCTTAAAGACCTTTATCTTTCGGGGAATATCGTGTAAACAAAATGAAGAAAAATAAAATGAGTGTAGTTTGAAATTGTGCATAAAAGTTCTATGTAGTTTGAACACAATTGTATTTAATAATAATAATAATAATAATAATAATAATAATAATAATAATAATAATAATAATAATAATAAACTTGAATGTATTTGTTTCCTTTCTTGCAATAATCTTACTGAAAAGTATGAATATGTAACAACATTCTTAAGAAATTATGAAAAGTATTTCAAGACATGATTCATTTCCAAAATTATACATTACATATATTTTCTCTTTTTCTAGGAGAAAATCTTATATTCTCAAGAAAAAACTGCACTTTCATCTTACTATACCTTCTTTTAAATATTTTAGTTGGGTTATAATGTTTTTTAAAATGCATGTTTTTACTACACATCTTTTGATGGAATAATGCTCCCAATGACAGTAATATTAAAGAATATACTTCCGGGAAGTATAATTAAATCCATAAATAAACACAAAAGACAAAGGAAATCCTCATTATAAAAATATTTAATGTATTATACCATAGAAATAGATAATAAGAAAAATGAAAAATGCAAGTAAGTCTAATTTTTATGAGTAAAAACACTGTTCAAATAAACCATTAACCTTTAGCAGTTTCTCTAGTTTTATATACCATTCAGCCAGTTTTCACCTATTCTTAATCTTCCAATTCTATAGATTGAACAAATCGGGTACAGGATTTACCAATTTTTGAATTGTACCTGTTGCTCCAACTTTTTAACCTGACTTTGACTGCATTAGTGAGCATACTAAAATTTAGCATCTTCAGTAGCACAATGAAATTCAAATTATATAGAACTAAAACAAAAAGGTTGAAGTAATCCTTTCTTCAGAAGCACACCGCATCATTTCTGAGATGAAAGGTTTAGGGTTTTGTTTACCCATTGAACCAAAATAAATAGAGTAATAATTCCGGGGTATAGAAAAAACACATTCAAAGGCACACCTTTATGATTTGAATTTAAGGTTTCTAGTCTTGTTTTCCGTTGAACCAAAAAAACTAATAGCAGCAGTAATTCCTGATTACGGAAGGATGCATAGTATAATTCATGATTTTACAAAATCAAAACTTCAAAGAAAATGGTTCCGTAGACTTAATAAGAACGCTTTATGTTGGACAGCGGAGTGTTATGGCAAAGAATTCTGTGTAATTTTTCCACACTAATTCTAGCAATCCTACCAAGTTTCCAGAAAGATAAATTTGTACGAACAAACTATGAATGTAATAGACATTTCAAAAGCAATTTTCAGTAGTCTAAAAATATAGAAAAACAAATTACATACACATGACAACAATGGCAGATCATGACTCAATATTTAGGGTGCAAAGTTTTGAGTCAAATATATAGAATATAATAAAATTAAAAGTTATTTTTATGTGAAATCAATTAAAAGTTAAGAAAAAAAAAAAAAAGTTGGGAAGGCAAGAATACTTTTGTTCCCTCCACGACTTCCTGAGAATGATACCAACAAAACATTGAAAAAGCAACAGTCATTCTGCTCCCAGAAGATTATTATAGATCCAATCCAAGGACGGATGCTATAAACATTGGAATTGGAGCTGGTAGGATATAGAAGCTTTCAGATAGCAGGCTCGTATTTGCAAATACAGTCGTATATGTTCCCTTTAATCAACTTTTCAGCCAATCTCTGGTTTTTCACCATTGCAAGCTACCAAAAATATAAGAAAAAGGGAGAGATTAAGAAATGTGTCAAAGGAGCCACTTAGACATAAATTCATCATATCAATACAATCGGGGACAGGAATAGGCTTCATTATAAATATAAAGTAATTAAATGGTGCAGTTTCACATTCATATTGACGTAGAACAGTCAGAACTTATACAATACATTCGAGACTGTAATATCCTAAAGTCTAAACCCTAATACAGAAATTATGAATGTCTTAGAAATGAAGGAAGAAACCATTAAACTGTCATACAAATCTAAAGATATGAATGTGCAATAAGGTTGCCTATAAACTATGATGATTAGATTAAGTACAGCTCAGAGGCAGATGCACAAAAAGAAAGATTTAAAAAATAAGAGTATGAGAAGACAGTATGTGCATAATCACAGATATGGCAACGTGGGAAAGATGTTCCCTTTAGTGAATCCTAATGAGTTCAGGAATTCACGTACAACCAAAGCAGATGAGTTTTCTACATAGGACAATGATCATGGATAAGAGAACAATAAATCATAGAGAAGTATTCACTCAGTAACTATAAACTGAAACACAACGATAAAAATGCCAAATTAAAATTCTGCCGACAGACAATTTGTTTAAAGTATAAACTAGACCATGTTACCTTCAAAGCATCACACTTAAACCGGGCATTGAGATTGGTATGAAGAGCTCTACCCATCCCTTCCAAAATTA